CTGCGCGACCTCACCAAGTATCCAGTCTGATATTGTATCCCCATTCAACGTTTTGGGTTTGAATGCAACTGCGTCGCCTTTTGAGAAAACAACTTTGGACTTGTTGTTCCCTGATCCGACACCGCTTCCAACTGACCCCTGAGGCTCGACACTATCGGCCTTTGGGGGCATGCTGTCACGATCTCGTTCTCTTTCCCTCTCGCGTTCTCGTTCGCGTTCTCTTGCTCGATCACCATATTTTCTTGCTGATCCTCCAATTGGGCTCGGCACGGGTGAATCACCAGCCCCGTCAAAATCGTAGAGCGAAGATGCTGCCGCGGTACTGTCTCGAGCGTTCCTCTTACCAGGCCCCGCTGCTTGAGCATCCTGCTGTTCCTTAGCGTGCACCACGGCGCGCAACACTTTGAGCTGCTCGATAGTATTTTTGAGTGCTGACATGTTAGCCTCCGAGTGCTTAACCCCTGTCCGACAAAGCTGTTCCATCTCTTTCAACGAGTCACTCGGAATCTTTTCCAAGTCCATCGTACCGACTTGTTTATCCATCGTGACAAGTTCCGTAAGACTGTCATTCTCGGCATTGATTCCAGAGACGATCTCCCCCACTTGACTCTTGCACAGCTCCCATATCTGTACTTCCTCTCCATGTGTATTACCATTGTTGCGGTTGGACGCCCGTCCGCTTCTGTTTCGTTGCGACATCTCGCGGTTGTGGCGCTCCGGCTTCACCGACTCCGGCCGCGGGGTATTATGTTCACTTCTCGGCGACCTCTTCGGCGTGCCCACGTCTGAAGTAATGTCCCGACTATGGTTCTTGGTTCTCGACTTGGTCGGACGGTTTGGGGTGGAATCTCTGCTCGAAGGATCCTGTCGCTTAGAGCCTGATCGTTTCGGCTCGGGCGTGTTTGAGGACTGGCGCTGAGACTCTTGAAAGCTATTCTCCCTTGAATGAGTACCGCTTCGCCTAGGCTTCAAGGGAATCTGGTAGTAGGGGCCGAGATCTTCTTGGAGGTTCTTGAGTTCGTCCCGCGCAGGCTTCTGCCCGTTAGCCATCCTGCCCCGATACCACCGCCTAAACAGAATGTTGCGATGAGAATCAACCCGAGGAAGGAAACATTATGACGACGAGACGACAAGGAATAGACAAAAGCAAGCGAGGCGCAATTGAAAAAGGGAATTGAAGCACATGGAGATTCATGAATTCAATGAGAAAAAACTGGACTAACCTGAGTTGAGAGAGGCCCGAGTGCTCACAGGCCGAGGCGGGATGGTATGGGGAAGGAAAGGCGACTAAGACAGAGGGCGCGTCGCAGATGAGAAGGGATCGGCAAAGTGAGCAAAAGAGGAGAGAGGCTGTGACAGATTTTATAAGCGAATAGAGTTATTATGTCATGCCATGAAGTATGTAGAATAGAGTTGAGGTATAGTTGAAAGCTTATTATTGTTCAATAGTGTAATCGTCGGGTATCATGTCGTGTCGTCTCGTGTCAATCGTGATGGTGCTTAGTCTTTCTCTAACAGTTGAGGCTGTTGATCCAGTGCCAAGGAAGCATCCTCCGCGGCAGAACAAAAGGCGGTGAGGAAAAGAGGTTCCGCATTTGGAGGGGCTTGAGGGGAAGCTTCCTTATCATGACACCGATAAGCGTGTGGCCAATGATTAGTTAGGGGCACGGTATCATGATACCTCATGAACTGTATGTAAAGCCAGGTGTTGAGATGTATATAAGCAGCATTGATCAGGCGGATAAGAAGTACCTTCAAGTTCAAACTTACGCATCATCTCTCCTACCTACCTACCTTAGTCTTCACGAATCAGCTTCGAATGCAGCATGAACCAATGCCAAAGTCAATATCAGACCAGATACCATCATGATTCTTTATTCCTCATTAAAAGTATATCTACCACAAACACCAATTTTCACACTCACGCCCCTCCCTCCTTAATTATCTATAGCTTCTGCTTCTCAGAATCATCAATCTCACAAAACGCCTTGTACGTCGTAAACTCATCATCCTCACCCCCCTCACTCTCAAGAACAAGCTCAGCCGTAGCACCCACAAAGTACACATGCCCCTCCTTCATCTCATAGCTCGTAGGCCCAACCGCGATTCTTCCCTTCCCACTCGTGCAGATGACAATGCTAGGTCCCTCAATAGGCTCAAAAGTAGCCTTTGCGCCATCGCCGCGAAGCAGGGTGCGCACGACGCTGAATTCCTCGATGGGTGGGTCGTAGAGCACCACTGCTGAGCCGGAACTGTAGGCGTTGCGGTTCAGTGTTGCGTAGGGATATTCGGTGGGTGTCATCTTTTGTTGCTCGATGGGCGCGAAGTTGTAGGTTAGCATGTCGACGAGGGTTGAGACGTCTTTGAACTTGGGTGTGAAACCGGCGCGGACAACGTTGTCGGAAGCTGCCATGCACTCCATGATGTCGCCGGAAATGTAGGCGTGAATGTCGTCGGCGACTAGGAACAAAGCCTCTCCAGGCTCCAGAGTAACGAAGTTGAGGAAGAAGAGCACAAAGCATCCAATGTCGTCGCCAAACTCGCCGTGTGTTCGCTTCACAAGCTCAGCGAGCTTCTCGCCAGAAGTAGCAGGGACACCACCGCCAGCAAACTCAGCGCCCTCCTTCTCCGCTTGCTCAACAAGCTTGGGCATCTGCTCAGCAAGATCCTCAGCAGACGACGCCATGAGCGCACCAAAAGCCTTCTTCAAGAAGTTCTTCTTCTCATCCGTGACACCTTCCTCACCATCCTTGGCAATCTGCGCAAACTCCTTGGCAGCTTCTTCACCCACGAGCGCTTTCAGCGCAGGCACTGTGTCGAGGAAGTGAGCAATCTCAGTGAGAGGTCGGAAACCGCAGAGACCCTCGAAGGGAGTAATGGCGATGGCCATTTCGGGCTTGTGGTTGTCATCGGGGTAGTTCTTTGCGTCGCGAGCGTGGAGCTGCTCAGCGAGCTTCTTGTTGGGGTGGGCTTGGATCGAGAGCGCTTTTGCGATGGAGAGCACTTTGAAGAGGAAGGGAAGCTTGCTGCCATAATGGGAGGAGATGGTTTGCGAGAGGAGGGACTGGTTGTCCTCGCAGAGATCGAGGAGAGTTCGGCCGGTGTTGAGGTCTCGAGAAGGGTTCGATGGATGAGTTCCCATCCACAACTGCGCAGACAATTGTTAGCATGAGCTATAGACACATCATGTAGAAAGATGCTCACCTCTGCGTATGGAGTATCAGACTCGATCTTCAGGTCATCAGAGGGCGTAGCGGCCGCAAATCGCGCAGCGGCAGAATCATTGCCCTTCTTTCCCCAGGCGTACGAGTTGACACCGCATTGTAGGCGAAGTAGAGGAACCTGCATATTTGCGATGTTGGTTGTTGGCGGTGACCGCGACACTGAAGCTATAGCTTAGCTTGGAGGGCTCAATTGTCTAAGATCGAAGCGCAAGTCTGTGCCTCGGATATAAAATCTTGTAACCTATCAGTCGCAAAGAAGAAAAGAAAATATCAGGAATTGCAAAGTTGGCCAAACAGAAAGCAGATGATGACAGCAGTTATGACGGAGCCCGTGGAGGGGAAGTCACAGCATTACCCATCAGTTACGTTAACCCCCCATCACCCAAATTTGGCTCTCCCTTCCCATCCCTTCCCCTCCCCTCCAGTGAGTGAACCGCTCTAGCCACTATAGCGACGGGACACGAACGTGCTGATTCCGGGCTCTTGTAGGGAAAAGTACCAGAGTAGCTCCGTTTTTAGAACGTCCAAGAACCCCGCTGTGGGCCTGGAACTATCGACTTGTCTTTTTCCTATTCTGGGTTGATCTCCTCCATGTGATTGTGAGCCTCATTACACGATATCAGGGGTTTTATATTGCAACTCAAGGGCTCTAATTTGGCGGGATGATGGCGATTTGATAGTGTCTTGTATTTATTTGCCGGGTGGCTTCGAAATTTGCCAATTGGCATTCGGAAGACAATTCACAGCAAGATCGGTGAACAATGAATAGTTACACATCGTAAAGATACATGTTATTGAAGAGCAGACTCACTAATGAGTACTCAATGCTCAAGGTGCTGCGTACATGTACACAGGTGCTCCGTCAAACGACGTCAGCTCTTTCTTCTGGCTTAGCTTAGACAAAGTCCAGTCTTTCATTATCCATCCATTATCCGCCCAGTTCCTCCTCTCTCTCAATCTTGACTTTCACCATTTTTTGTTGTCCGAAGAAAAAGCAATGTACAGACTTATGCACCCAACAGAACAGACCAAAACACCTCACTTGCGTTCTCCCAGAACTCCAAGGTCTGATAACTCATGCAGTCTGGGCCCAATGGTATGACTGTGTTCACCGACGCAGCAACCTATTTTCCTCTCTTGTACCAAATGACTCCAAAATCAAGGGCTGCAAGGCAAGGCAAGGCAAGGTCCTGCAACGCCCTGGGGATAAAACGCCAGAGGAGGTCAAAGGTAAGAAAGAGCGATATGCTGCACACTTTGACGACCAATCATGCAAATAAAAATGGAAAAGCAGAGAGAAAGAAAAAAACACGTAACTCATGTATCGGGGTGGGAGATAAGACTCGACCGAGACGCCACCGTGGCACAAACCAACGCTTGACGTGCTTCCCCGGTGAACGCTGTGCTCATCGTCTTGTGAATTCTCTGGAGGACTAATAGCCTCTCAAGTCGAGGTTGTTCCGACGGCGGGATGATCGATGAGTAATTCGTCCATGACAAGCGAGCTGACTTTGGTTGGACATTCGTCCCATCACAACATATATTGTGCGTTTTCGTGCCTCGTCAACGACCTCAACTCCGTTGACCCCGTAAAGGCCCAAGCCAGCCATTGTAATAACAGACAGTGAAATGTCAATGGCAATGACCCAAATGCCTGCCCCAATGAAAACATAGCGCACTGTAAAACCTCAAAGCCGTGTATCAATGCAAGCAAACAATGTACAGTTGTAGTAGCCGCAGCTAAGCCGAGCAGTCCCGCTTCGTATCAAATAGATATCAAGCTCGCAGCGTCCCCGTGGCCTTGCGGTAGCTGTCCGCGGCGGCGTCTGTCCCAACGCTTCCAAGATCGCCAGGAGGCACCATGTAAGCTGCAGATTGGTGCGTCATGTAATGCGTGTTGCTATGGCCAAGCGGGTAGGATGATATGCCACCGCTGTTAAGGGTGGGCATGTCGCGACGAGTAGTAGTTGGAGGTGCCGCAGTGACTGAGCTGGTTGTGTCTATGTAGCGGTACGTCATCTCAGGGCCCTGACGCATGGAATCGGTCGGCCCCAACACGGATGCATCCGAAGGACCAGTGTAGGAGTAGTAGTCATTGCTTTGGCGGCCGTAGTGATGAGCGAGGTTCGCAGGATACGAGGGCAGACAGCCCGAGGTGGAGGGCATGCTTGAGGACTCGTAACTTGTGTAACTCGAGGGCGCCTCGGAGGTGCTGCTCACAGGCGACGTATCCGACGTCGAAACTTGCGACGACTTACTACTGCTGCTGTAGATAGAGCTACCAGAATCGTTCTTGTAAGACGAGCCCATCGAGTTGGGTAGCGCAGTCCGTCCTACTGGTGCAGGCAGTAGCCTATCCCCCATGTTGACGCTTACTGCCATGTTCTGAAACCCAAGGCTCTTCGAGTCAGGAGTGAGATTCTGATAACCCAGGCTCTTGGTGGAGTCTGGCATCATGGTCTGGTACGCGAGGCTTGCCGAGTCCGTGGTTACTGGAGCAGGTCGATGTACCAAGCTCGTGACACTGTTTGGGCCACTGTAGTTGTAGTTTGGCTCCATGTCCACGCAGAGGGCAGACTTTCCTGTGGTTCCAGAGGCGATTCGATGGCTGATTGCATATTCCGAGTCATGATAGGGTGCTTGGTACATGCTGTTGTAGTAGCTTGGATCATCCGCGTATCCATGACCCCAGGTTGCAAGGGGGCAGTACGGCTTCGCACCATATCCATAGGCAGTAGGGGTACGATAGACAAATGGATCACTGGTGTAGGATGTCACGCCATCAGTGTAAGCTGGGGCAGTCGAAGGCAGAGCCGGTATGGCAGAGCTTCCTCTCGCTTGATACTGTCGAGAAGCTTCAAGACTGTAAGTAAAGCCTTCACTCTTCACGATAGGTGCTTCATGAGACGCAACCTAGTCCATAGTGTAAGTAATAAACTACACAGCATCGCTCTACGTGAAAACATACTCTGAGAAACTGGCAAGGCTCATGGCCTGCATTCTTGCAGTTGGTGCATGGTCCTCCGTTGCCAGTATCACCACTGCAACGAATCTTCCTCTTTCGACACCGACCACACTGAATCTGTTGTTAGCCCGCTACACAACTATGTAAGTCTCGCACACACACCACACACCAGGTAAGGAAGGGGATGGGGGAGGTTTTCACTTACTGCTACCGCGATGCGCTTCCTCTGGGGAGTCACATCGTCATCCCTCTCACTCATAATAGTTGTCCTCGTGTCAGGATGAATGGGGTAAGCAGTCCCCCGACGCTCCGGGTATGAGAAGATGTTCACCCGGCTCGGCCCAAATCGCCGCGGATCTGTCGAGTAACAGCTTTGACTGACCATTGTGCCGGTCCAGTTACGGGTACTCGAAGAGTGAAAACGAAGGACTAGAGTCTAATACAAGACTCAGAGTGGCTGCCTGTCGAACTGCCTCATAGAGATTGACAATCTTCCTTGTTGGGTGATGTCTTATCACAGTAGTAGCCTCAAAAAGGACCCCACGGCTTTGAAAAGACAAAGTCCAAAGCTTGACGTCGTTCCCGGGTTGCAAGCACTCGTCCGTCGGGACTCTCGGTAACGAAAGAGGTATAAGTGAACAATGAGTTTGTTGCCGTCGACTTATTGGACAGTTGAGTAAAAAATTAAGCCTACCACTTCCCGTCAACTTCGGCTTGACAGAATTTGGAGTTTTTGAGGAAGTAGAAATCAACAAGACCGAAAGAAACAAGAGATCCAAAGACCAGAAGATCTGCGGCCGATGGCATCCTGATATACTCCGTACCACTCACTGACTTAGACCGCTCCTGGGTATAGCCGTTTGTGAATAGTGTTTGCTTCGCCCAAGCTCAACGACGACTTCCTCTTCCTACCAATAAACGGCCCTAATCTTTGGCAGCACCGAGTAGATCCACTTCAATCAGGGAGTATAGAATCATCGAGGCACCTCCTCCGGTGCTCTGTGCAATGTAGGGACACCTCGTACAACAGATGACATTTGCCCAGAGCCCTCACTCAACGTCCTCCTCACCTATCAGCGCTACGCAAAAATTGTCTGGCTGGAGGCTCCTAGCTTTGCGAGAATGCCACGGGTAATCACAGGTGGCTTGCATGATGGCAGGATTACCATGAGGCAGCGATCCCCTCACTATCATGGCATTGATGGAGCGAATCCAAACAGCGAATCCAAACGGGCTTCCAACCTAAAATGGCAGGCAGCCAGATCTAGTTGATCGGTCTTGGGCTTCCCCAGATCGTATGGGATGCAGATAGCCTGAGCTGGGTTGGACTGTTCAGAACCTGAAACGAGCATCCCCACACGGACTGTCTCTATCTGGGGTGGACTGAGTCGTGTTGAAGTCATAGAAATTGCTCTACAAGTATACAGTTGAGGGTGCGACTGTGCTGCCATGCCATACGACCTTGAAGCGAGACGTCGGCCGATAAGCAAGCCCGTGCAGATCTGACACTGCAACAACCGAGCTAGTCGAAGATCTTAATCCGTTTTGTTTGTCAAACAGCTCCTGTTCCTGTCTTGGAACAATGGAAGCACTCAAGCCGAAGACAAGACGAGACCGTCTTGGCTCATATCCAAACGGATATTATGTCTGGGGCAGCAAACCCCACCGAGACACAAAACCTTGACAGACAAGGTCAGGCCTGCAATGGAAACACAAAACCCAGTTGTGAATCTAAACGATTGACTGATCTAGCCTCCGCCATAACTTGGAGCGCAGAGATATCCTTCGCTTGTCGCGCAACGTACGCTAGTCGTCAAGAAATGCTGTTACTTGCTGCTGCTTGTGATCCAGTTGTGTAACAGGCGTGCACTACAGTAATCGACAGGTACTTCGGTATATGAAGCACGCACAGTAGGCTTTCAACCATGAAGCTCTGAACCTTGTCCCTTGCAATTGTCTTGTCTGATCTTGTCTTATACACGGGTCATCTACAATCCATGCCATCGATCAACACATCTCGATAGAATCGCAGCCTCTTAACCCGGTAGCTGGGTGGTGGTGGGTCTATAACCCTTGCTGGTGTGTGCGGTAATATCGAAGCCGAGATACTGTTGCAGATACTAATGTTTCGACAACAAACACCTGAAAACGTGGTCGACAAGGCATCTAATGCTGGTGTCCATGGAAAGAAACTCTTCCCGTTAGTCCAGGGGCGAGACTGAGGCACAAAGTCACCTCACACACCACAACAGCCATCCTAGGCCATTGAAACGCTGTTTGGTTGCTTTTGACGTTGCTCCGTGAATTTTCTTTTCTCACGGCGAGGCTTTGCATGTGTGAGATGCATAATTCTGCTCTAAGCCCCACTCAAGATGCAGTATCCTGCCTATGGCTTTCGTTCGCTTGTATTGGATACTCTGATGCTCAAGATTGGTCCCAACATAAAGTGAGAGGCAGCACACAAACGGCATAGAAAATGATCACAGCTTGACGAAAAAGGACATGCCACCGTGGCGATGGTTACACAAGAATATGTCTCCACAAATGAGCTGAGTTGTCCGGTATTAGATCTGCAGAACCAGGATACAAAGGGATAACTTCCAAGATGTTGGAGAGCTAGCAACATGCAAAAGCAAGGAGTAGCAGTCAGGACTCTTATCCTCATTGGGGACAGGCCGCCAAACGGTGCGTGTCGGTGCGTGTGTAAATATAGTATGGAAGCCAGAGCCCGGCCAAGAGGGGGCATGCATTGCAGAAATAAAGCCAAACACTGACCACGTCCAGAAACCATGGAAGTTGATAGGTCCTCTAGGTCCGATGACTTGCAGTTGTAACAAGCTTGAGTCTGCGCCTGCGTATCGAGAACAGATTTCGGTAAAGACGCCACGAGAGACACACAGATGCTCTTCTACAGGGATTTTCTACCAGTGGCGGAGGTCTTGCCCTGTCGTTCGTGTGGCGCGATGGCTTGCTTGCATCAAACGCATAGGGCTTCGGGCTGACACCCTTCGGGGGTCTTCCAAGGCTGAGGCACGATTCCACATCGGTGGCGCTGTTCGAGCGAATATCCCCAAACAATAGAACTGTCTCAAGAAGTAAAGGCAAGACAAGGTCGTTTGTGAAATATCTCGTCTCCAAGTCCATTGACCGAACGAGGTTTGTACGAAGTTCAAACTTGACACAGTAACATAGACATCGTTCGATGTCTTCACTTTATTTCACAGCTGGATCAAACAGCCGTTCTTGAGTCAAGGCGGTTTCAATTAGTTCTGGGGCAAGCCTTCTCAAGTCAAGGAACGATCGTCTCGTATCGCGACTCATCTCATCAGTCATGCCCATACAGCATACACAGTACGGCGAGATAACCAGCTTGAGAAAGCAGGCTCGCTTCATTTCTCTCTCCTCTACGGCTGCCCCACAATCGGTGAGAAGACAACACCAATTCTCAAAAGAGAAGACGGTCCGTGATAATACAGCAAGCGCAGTATCCAGGGCGGAAATTTCTTTCAGCAATAACCCGACGAGATACTGTTCGCCCAACTGTCATTTAAGGGTGTGACGCATGAAGCTGCGTCTACCCGCGCTGTGCTTCCACCAATACATACTATTGGTCACTCAACCAAGGGGTTCACCTAGAAACCTCTCGTGGTCCACTAAAGGACGAGGATAGACTGCTTGATGGCTGACCAAAACTCCGTCCAACTGGGATTTTATACCCTTGATTGTAGCAATGATCTGTAGCGATCCGCAAAACAGTCGCGGGGAAGCTCGATATGAAGATCCGGAGGTTGGATCACATGCAGAGAACAATCTGAAACTGCTTCCTTAGCAGAAACATCACAAGGCCACTGAGCCTATATTGATTCTATGTCGGCTCCCGTTGGAGACTGAAATCGCAGTCAAGCCCGCCCCATGGCCGCTAAACCCGGCGGACGGGGCTTTGGCGTCTCGCAGTTGCACATCTCGACAAGTTTTGCCTGAATAATTCCATGCTTGGACATGGCGTGTCGGCGTCACTACATGGACCAAAATCCACAACACTGGCCGATCAGAACTTACAATTTTGCCGTCTTGTCGACGGATGAGTCCCCGAGCTATGTATGACCAACGCTGCAATGATGCAATTACCAGGCAACATTGCTTCTGCTTCGGTCATCGGTCCTCGAAACCCGTAGCTCGTGTTGTTGAAAGATATTGGAGTACCTCAGCGTAGTACAGGTAATCGTCCCCAGTCATTGTTACCAGTACCGAGCTCATTGGCGATCTGAGACAACCGTATTGATCCATCTACGTACCCTGGGCAGCAGCCGCATCTCTCAGCCCAGAGCCTGTTCAAGGAATCTTCGTTGACTAAGACAGCTCAGGTGACAGGGCTCAGGGCTCAATGCTTGTCGAATAAGCCAAGCTCGACCGTAACAAGCCTTACTTGGGGTGTAACATAGTCTTCGATGTGGTGAGAGTATGGCGTCTCACGCCCGTGCCTTGCATTGATGAGCTGGAGTTTGTGCCCGCCCGTGTCTCTAGAAGACACAGGAGAAGCAAGCATAGCCGAGAATGACGGGTTTTTGATCTATAGGTAGAGAAGCAGAGACAGATTATGGAGTGTTCGACTGAGTGACGGACAGCCAGCAAGCTCGCACAAAAAACAGTATTTGGAGGTAAAGCCAAACATGTTGTGGGGTGTTGGTCTAGGTGGTCTATAATGTCTGGATGCTTTGACGAGAGTGGATTCCCCTTGCTGGGCGTTGTGATCTGCTGGACATCCAAAAAGACCTGTCGGGTATGACAACGTCAAAGGTGTTGGTAGAAGCTTAGGGATATCGCCGGCAAGCGATGCCATGGCAAAAAGAGATGGGGTAGGCCCGGAGATCTCATCCAGAGCGACGCCGTGGTAGCTCAACAGCGGGAGACAGATCCTCCCCGCCGACCCACGGTCATCGGTACATTTCGGTCAGAATAACGTCTCTCATGCGTAGACGGTGTTCAGTACGTGCTCAACTGAGCAGCCCACATTGTCTTCCGTTGCTTGGGGCAGATGCTCCGGTGAAGGACCGTATGTGAGATGAGAGGAAGTTGGTGTTTGCATATCACGAAGTAAAGCATTGAATTCAACGAGGTTCTCTGTCAAGGTAGCTGTCAAACTCGTGTTGTGGGGATATTCCATTTTCGTGTAATGCCGTGCGATGCATTCCGTATTAAAATTAGCTGAAGCTGTTGCATCGCAGAGTAACGCTGAACGCTTGCCGTCAATGGTATTGCGCCTCAATGCGCCAGTGCTTGTGAGCGTTGCACTGCTGTGATGCGTTTTGCAATCCACCAGTCCTTCCTTATCTCCTTGACCTGCGATCATAATCGTCCCGTCCATATCGATCCCTTTCTCTACCTCGGTCTCGACGGTCATGGCCACGATCCCGATATCGGTTTCTATCTTGATCTCTATCGCGCCGGTCGCCTTGACGGTCATCTCGTGGTTTGCGATATCGATCCCGACTTCGATCTCTTGGCCGCGGACTCCGACTGCGGCTTCGTCGACGTGATGGCCCTTCATCACCATGGGGTCTTGGAGGAGGTACATCATCCTTCTCCTGGTTCTGTCCACTGCGCCCCAATCTGCCTTTCATATCGTCTTCGCCGTGAACCATTCTGTAATTACCACCCGTAATCCTTTCTCCCTCATCTCGGTATTGTCGGCGCTTCTCGAGCTCATCGACACCTCCCCATCCGCCTCGATGAGCAGTCGCCCTTCGCTTGCTGTTCGTGTCCTTTCGCCACACATCGCTCAGTTTGCTGACACTCTGAGAGAAGTCCACATGAATGCGGCGATCGTCGATGAGAACGTCCTGCATCTTGAAGTAGGCTGTCTCACATGACGCCTTGTCTTCAAATTCGATGAATGCATATTGTAAACTGTCGCCAGTCTTTTGATCTCTGATAACTTCGCAACTCAAAATCTTGCCAAAACGGCCAAAGATGAGCTCCAAATCTTCGTCGCCAGTCACAGGGTTCAATTTGCAGACGAATAAAACGTTCTCCGGGGGTTTGACCTCTGCAAATGGCAAATCTCCCATCATTTCCAGAGTGAGGGCTTGTGCCTGTGCCTCGCGATTGCGACGCCTCCTTTCCAACTCTTCCTCGTCGACACCGTCATCTGCGTGTAATGCTGCCTCATCTTCGATTCGAACAGTCTTCAACTGCTGGGCGGTCGGAGGGGGACTCGAGCTCGGCTCCCTCAAGCCAGGCGGGTCAGGGTAGGGATCGTCCAGAATAACCGTATGCTTGATTCGGATGTCGATAAGCGGGTAGCCCTTCTCGTCCACGATCGCCTCGTTTATCTTGTCCAGCACTTCAAAACCTTCGACAACCTTTCCAAAGACCGCTGCCCTACCATCCAAATAGTCTGTGTCTTCGCCTAATGTGACAATGAACTGAGATCCAGCCACACGTGTATCAGGATCGGACTGGAGGGGCGCAGTAGCCATGCTGACTGTTCCTCGCTCCAAGTGTTTCAACTTGGGGTGGAAGAAGGCCGGAAATGTTCGTTTCGAGGGGTCGCCGGATATGTGACCCCATATTGAAGAGCCGCCATCGGATTCTTTGGAAAGAGGGCCGAGAGGATCGCCGGTTTGGAAAGAGAAGTTCTTCTGAACAGAATGAACAGGTGAGAAGTTGTAGTATTTGGCCTTGCAAAGCTTCAGAAAGCTATATCATCTGTTAGTTCAGCGACTCGGTGACAGCAATAAGGTGGCATTGGAATGACTTACTTTTCGCAAAGCTTGGGTGCATGGTCGACCAGAAGATCGATGACAATGTCGCCTTCACTGGTCTCCAAGAGAACTGACATGATAACCGATGTTATCTCCTCTGTTACGCGATGCCGAATGAATTGATTGAATGCGAAAAGAGGTTGTAAAGAGAAGGACGCGTTGTCCCAAGAATGGACGGAAGGTTGTATGAGGTAGCTGCTCCAGCCACTCACTGTCGCGAAGCTTTCGACAAGGAGCCTTCTGGATGGCGCCACAGGTGGCGGTGATAAGATTACGTAATCACACGATGACTTCAACTTCACCAGAACAGCGTCTCATTGTCGATGCCATATCCGTTCGTAACGAGCATACGAGACTAGTTTTCTCAAGAATTTGCATCACTTCTCTTGTCCCGATTCCACTCGCGGACCGGCCTCCAACGTCTCCCTTCTCGTTTCAGCGATGCTCAGTCTTACATCAGGACAGTCCACTAAGACGTTACTAATTCATGGAACAATCTGCATCCTGGCGGGCTCTCTATAACTGAGCATTTCTTTCGTGATATTCTCACATAGTCCCCTCAGCCAGTATTCTATACCGTGCGCCTTTCACAGGGTCAAAAGACTCCCTACAAGACAAGAATCTACAACAGGTCTAGCAGCCTCAACTACCGATACTCTATCATGTGGATCAAACTTCGACAAAACGACCCTCAGCTTCAATCCCCATCCTTGTTTTACCCAACCCACAAGAACCGCTAAAAATGACGTTTTAGCAAGAACCTTTTACCTTGAAACAAAAAAGTGTTCCTCTTATTCTGACGATATGTTGAACAAAGTGCCAAAGGGGCGTATACATGGAGCAGAATGTCCGGATCGCCGACTGTCAAACCCCATGACCGGCAGGGATTCTTGTTTTCTAGGTGAGACTCTTTGTTTCTGGAAGGTGAAGCTTTCCCGATCTCGATGTTCCCGCGCCGTTGACCTGTTTACGTCATATCATGTCAAGGCTCTGGGTTTGACAGTCCGGGATGAAGCATCTATACCCTATCAGAAATGTCTTGGCTGCTTGAAGAAATACCGTTGAAGGAGCGTTGTCGTGATGATCGACAACGGTTTGAAGTCATTCCCATCGGTGTGATCTGAGGTGACGTCTCGGTGAACCGCGTAGAGAGTCATCCACGGGAGCGCTAGGGTAGACTTCCCGGTACGTCTTCGAGGCTCAAAGTGGATGTGAGGATCATGGTTATCCTGCTTCATGTGAGACGGGAATGACATGGTTTCCCCATAACGACAACTCTGCTTCACCTTCCGCAATGATTGTTCACCCGGAGCAACTGCTCAACCAGCCTCATCTCATTCAAAGCTCAAGGGCTGTTCTTTATACAGTGATGTAACGATCACTAGAACCAAACCGCCCAGGCCACCCTACAGCATCATAGCATCCGCTTCGCCTCCAGCTTGTGCTGTGCTGTAATATATCGAAAAACCTGCTTGTCCATTAGCATGACAGTCCCTGACGGTCATGCTACGGTACCACACACTCACCTACACTCAACATCTTCCACCTCTCCGGTGTGCACAACCTTGGTCGATCCTCAGGCCCAGACCACATCAGCGATTCAGCGGTGTACTCAGTGGCAAAAACTGAACTCCCCGATCGTGATCGATTAAGCCCAAGCGCACTGGTAGCTCATATCAGAGACATTCTTAGCGCAGAACCGTTATCGCAAAAGAAGCGCCTGGGCGCTTAATTAGTTAAACAATTCTTGGGTTAGCGAGTGTGCAAGAGATGATCTTCATTTCCCCCAACGGGTTTTTGATGCAGCAGGGGGAAGGTCTCAAAGGACGATCTTCGTGGGTAAGACGCGTGTTTTTCTTCACTATCTATTTTTTGCAATGCCAATAACAGCGAGCGGGGCCGGCCGGACGTGCATTTGGGGGAGGAGGGAAGTTCGGGGTAGACAAGTGTAATTAGATGTTTTGCGTTTTGGGGTCATAGCATTCTTGGAGTTTACGTGGTCGACCGAGTGATGATAACCGGGAATGCATTCACTTTACAGAGATGGACTCTTGAATTGATAAGGCTGTTTTGCGAGATTGCATTCATTTGCACTGTTTGATGCTATCGCTAACAAAGGCTAACTCCTCCTCGGGAGATCTTCATGATGGTAATAAACTTGTGGCGTTTGTTCATGCCTCCGAGATCCAGCGTGGCTTTCGCAAGAATGTAAATGAAAGTTTAAAAATAAAAGCCACGATGAGCGATCTCGCGATATGCAGTTGGTTCTGTAGAACCTAAAAATGAAGTAATAGACAAGAAGTGAAGATTGTGTGTGTAAGTGAAGTGGGTGTGGGGAAGAAACAAAGACAAATAAACCCCCCAAAAATCGCTTTTTCGCAAAGCATGCTGTAGTATTTCCCTAGTCCGATATTGCCCAGAATGTAAGAACGTGAGCTTTTTCCTTCTCTTCCCAGCTCGAGTTGAGACCGTAAACGCCTTCGCCAATGCAGATAAAAAGACAAAGAAGAGAAGTATTAAAATTATTGCCAAGTTTTGTGGTATTGGGGGGGGCGTATGTTTGCCACCGCGTAAGTCAACCATTGACATTGCGTGAGTATATGCCGACATGATGTGATGGCGAAAAGTACACGAGTAAATATTTTCAGTTTTACTCGTTTCCAGAGCTTCGTCGCCTTCGTCCGCTGCGAAGCTCCTTCTCAGTCTCCATGAGTCTCGTCTGCACCCATGTTCTAAACGCCCGATCGGCACGAACACTACTGCAGTTGAGAAGCTCTGTCAAAGTGCGCTTGATGCTCTCGTTGACCTCCGAGAGGCGCTGCTCTTCTGCTGAGATCTCGTAGATGGTCTCCTCGTCGGGAATTGTAGTGAGTTCATTGCGGTCCTCCCAGCCGCTGCAGCGGGCGTGGGAGCGCGAGTGGTGTCGTCCGCTCCGGGAGTGGCGCTTCGGTGAGGGCGGGAGCGAGAGGGATGAGGAGGATGATCGGGTTGGCGATGTGGACGGTGAGGAACCGTGGGAACAGCTTGACATGTTGAACTCGGGTCGGATCTGGTCGAGGCGATCGCATAGTTCTTGGTGTTGCTCCGTCAGAAGCATATACTTCTGAAGAGCAAGGGTATATGATTGTGCGCCGGCGGATGCCATTTTTGATGCTGGACTTATTGAATATGAAGCTGTTGTGCTACTGATACTCGATACTGATGTTGATCGGTTGTGCCCGGAAAAGAAATGGGTTCTCACGTCTAATGACGAGACCATCGAAGCGATTATGTAGTAACTGGGAGGAAGATGTGTAAGATTGGGTCGCGGTTAGAGTGTCGTCGCGAACACTTTGAGTCGAGTCGTCCAGTGTATAAATATTCTTGTGACCTTTTGCCGGTGCAGTGTATCGTAAATGTAAGCTGCAATGTAAGATGTAGGTACTAGGTGTCGATCGTCGGATAATACGCCGTGGTTGCTCAAGGCTGAAGGGGACCAATCTCAAGCTTGTATAGAAAGTGGTAATATGATAGGAGCTTGGAACGTCCACGATACACAAGCAGTCAACTGACTATATGTGAGAGTAAGATGAGTGAGTATGAGGAAATCAAGAATTCAAGTGACGGGGGTGCTTGGTATAGTTATACTGAAGCTTGTCGATGGATGATAAGAAGTAGTATGATGCTCATGTTATGGGGGAGCAGGGTGGTTCATTAATAAAGATATGGATTGGCACTCCGCTAGAATACAAGCTACGCTACGGTCGATGCGGTATGTAACTTACGGGAGGGGTCAGCAAATAGATTGGAACTGGACTGAACTGATTGAATTTGACTGAAGCTTGTAGGGGTAGGTTAGAGTAGGGGTGAGTATCAAATGTACCAAGTACGAGATCCAGGTACGCCAGTCCCCAAGCCTTGGAATGGGAAATGAAGGGGAATCGTCAGGTCTCAACCAACGAGTCAGCACCAAGAACCGCCATGTCTGAAAGTAGAAAATACAACCATCATCCCCCCTGTCCACCATTTAGAGCCCTTGTCCACTGTAAGTCTAGCTCTCACTCTGTTTTTTCTTCTCTCTCTCGTCTTTGCTCGTTCATTATGAGTTAGGACCGTGTGGTTCTAGCCGCTGAACGGCAAACTTGCGCTCACTGAAGCTAGCCCGAAGCCATGGGGAGGGGTGCTGGCCTCCTCCTATTGGGACACCTGGGAAATCAAGACGAGAAGCAGAACAGGGATTGACAGAAGATCCTGGGCATCAAGCTTTTAGTTGTGGATCCGCTGGCGATGTGACGGGATGCGCTGCGATTATGATGTGTGCGCGGTGGGTGGTGTGAAGCCCTTTTTTTTAGACTGGCTGTACTGCACTGTATTCAGGTTGGCACAGTACTATTCCCCGTTTCTGAAGCTCCCCGCTCCCGTCTTGAACAGAATGGAAGGGTCTGATAAGTTCTCACCGGGTTCTTTGGGTTGGGTTACTTTGGTGAGTTGTCGTTGACAGCGTTAATCGCCGTGTGGCTCTCTCTCGCGCCATCATCCACCTCAATGAGCATGATTTCAGATGTCGATATCGAGACATTCCATGTCTTGCTACTCCCAAATACGGCTGGTTGCTTATAAGCTCACCCAACTAGCAGCTAACCGACGTTCCAGGACATGAGACAGCGAGGTTTTTCTTATTCATGAGTTTCCGATTCAGACTCGATCTAGAGCTCTTTTTCTTGCTTGATGTTACTGTAGATATATCATAGCGTACGTGGAAAGTGGATTAATTCCCCATTGATATGGAGACGCAAACTCGTTCGTCTGTGCCGGGCATGCATTTCACGATACTATGGATGCTTCCCCGGTTGAGCCCGCTACAGAAGGCGAGGAAACTTAGGACCCGGATCTTGAGGGATAAAAATATTTAGGTAAATTAGCTTAAATTTAGGAGGCTCTTTGCTAAATTTATTTTAGCACTCTAATTGCAACCTAAAGCTCTCCATGTCAGACCCGGTCCGGAGTTTGAGCAAGATACGGCTGATATTGAAGCACGATGCAGTGCTTGCCTGCTTACTGCACACTATACGAATATTGATTGCTTGGCGGTGATATC